GAGTCTTCGCGGATAATCAGGCCGCACTCCTAAGGCTACGGGTACCAGCTAATACGCCCGGCCAATCCTGGCAACAACGGGCTATTCAATTAGCTACTATACTACGAAACAGAGATAATAATATCTCCCTAGAATGGGTCCCAGGCCACGTCAACGTCCCTGGAAACGAAAGAGCGGATAAACTCGCTAAAAAAGCTACCCTACTTACACCTCGAGAGAAAAACACTAGCTATGCGTACTATAGCATGCTAGTAAAGGCTAAAATCTATACGGCGTGGGAGGAGCAGCTTAGATCTGCCCTACCGAGTTCCTACGCCAAGACATTTCCACTAGTAGCAAAGCGCAGCTATAAACCGCCCTCTAACGAGCGCGAAATAGCCTCCGCTTTCTATCAACTAAAGCTAGGACACGGCTACTTTAAGTCCTACCTTCATCGATTTAACCATACTACTACGGATAAGTGTCGATGCTCAGGAACGGCAATCCAGACACCGGAACACCTCCTACTAAAATGCCCTCTATTTAGGCCCCAACGGGCTCATCTAAAGGACACTTTAAGACAAAACAACCCGAACTTTAAGGATCTTTTCTCCGAAACAAAGAACATTGCGGCTACGGTCCAATTTCTTAAATCTACTAAGGTTGCTACGCGCTCATGGTACCTTACCGACGCCTCTAACGAGGTATAAAAACGTCGAGCACGTCCACTCCTTTTCTTTCCTACTTTTATGTTTTTAGCCCTCGAAGGCGAACCGTTGCTTGTACCTACCTAGATCTAGCTATAGGGTGAAAGTCCCTCCCTAGCTACTTTTCTTTCCTAGACCTAGCTTTAATAGCTCGTCTTTAATAGTCCCCGACTCTAAAAGGACGTTAAACCCAAATAAATAAATAAATAAATATATTTTGAATTGGGCTGGGTTGAGTTGCATTTATTTACCCTAATCTATCGCCCTAAGCAATATGCAGGCTGCAGACTATTTAAAGGAGATATGCTAGCAATATATACTGTAGTGTTTCAATCTGGGAAAGTATAAGGAATAAGGTGGGCTGAAGGAAGGAATAAGGTAAGGGTTCTACTCGCTAGCATTTCTGTTCTGGAACCCTTCTGTTTAACGTGCTAATTCAAGTACCCGCTTAAGTTGCGTATTCGAAATCCTCTACTTTCTGTTATCCGTGCGAGGCTGAGAGTTGCCTGTTGGCTTGCCACCTAAAAGGCTAGATAGGCAGTTTCTCTAGAGTCCGGTTTCTTAGCACATCCTTTGCCAATTTTCTTGGAGTAGTGAATAGTCTAGTAGCACGTGGGATATTGATTCTACTTCTCCGTATTCGCATTTATCGTTGTTTATCCGTCCTACTCATTTACGGTGCTGGTTAAGCCAGCAATGGCCTGTTCTAGAATTTTAATGCCGCTCGCGGCTCATAGAGCGTTCGATCATGCGCCTGCGCTAGGGCCCAGAGTGGGGTATGAGAGGGCGAGGGCGGCTGGGTCGCCCGACGTGGGAAAGCCTCTGCGCATCTATGGATGGTACGGTGCCGACCGTTGCGGGATAATGGCGACATGGCGGTCGAGCGAGCGAGTGTATTACCGTAGACTAAAAGTTGTCGATGGCGAGGGGTGGTACCCAGGCTAATATTCCTAACTCTGTCACCGTTGGTCCCCCGGACTGAATCAATGAGGCTGTATATTAACCTGCGCAATAAGGGAAAAGAAACAATGTGTAGATTAGAGGTGGAGTACTATATATGACCCTAAGAATCTATTCTGAAAAGGATAGTATTATTCTTTACCTCTATTCCCAGTTGTACAGCTGTCTGCTCCTAAGTTGGCGTCCAGCTGCATATCGTACACTGTGTCTTTCACCATGCTATTATTTTCAAGTCCTCCGCCCGTTCGCGGTTCCGCGTCCATGACAGAGTCTACTATAGAAGCCGCAGCAGCAGAGCCCGCTACAGGTAAACGAAGCACCTTCCTGTCAAACCACTCGCGGTACTCTGTCGTTGCCCATTTACCAAGGTATTGGAGAGTTGCAATAATCTGGTAGACGCCTAGCTCATTGCATGAGTCACCAAACTGGATGGGGCCCCAGATTGTCTATTGGGGGAAACGGTTAGTCGGTGTCAGCTTTGCAAGATGAAATACGTGATACTTACGGTCTGCTTGCCCTCCCCACGCTCACGCTCCGCCATGAGGAAGTGCCACTTCGAGCCTTGAACGACTAGCAGCGGCAGCGCAGGAAGCGGTTCCATAGTATCTTCTTGCTTCTCGTGCATAGCAAGCAGCTCCTGTAGCCGCTTGAAATGAGCCCCGACCCAGATACCCACCTGCAGCTCCGCGGACCGCCACTGCTCGGCTGCAGGCTTTGCCTCCAAGCTTATAGCGATAGGCGCACGTCTCAGGGGCGAGTACAGTGTTTGATTAATGGAGAAATCCGTGTCCCAAGCCGCGAGCGCGTTCACGGAATTCGCCTCCTGCGTATCCATCTGCAGCACGACTGCAAAGTCGACATTGCGTGTCTTCTGGCTACCATATTGTGGGAGCAGGCGTCTTTCAATCTTCGCTACGCTGCAGTTGAGGAAGTCGATAATGTTGGGTTTTCAAAGGCGGCGGATAGGATGGCGGTATGTATCCGGCAATTCCATTCGGCTTCGCAGTGGTTGTGGGAGACCTTGGTACGGCGCAAGATACGGTCGACGGTGTCTTGGTTGGGGATTGGACCAAGGAGGTCGCGGGAGTTATCATTGTCGAAGGCAAGGTATTCGTTATCGGGGTCGTCGGGGAGGAGAGGAGGGTCGGAGGCCTATATAACATCTAGTCAGCTTAGCCTATTACCGTTGCAAAGTAAACTTACCTTGAGCCGGTTAGGCAAGACACTACGACTAATGCTAAAGAGCTTGACCCGCTTAAACATGTCGGCTAGTCTTGCTGGCAAATCTTTTAGATCATAGTCCCTGCCGACGATCGGCTCAAACGCGAATAGCGTATCGCTGATCTGCTTGATGGACCGCCCTGAGTCTTCCGAAACGCTATCTCCTGTGTCCGTTGATGCCGACGTTGTGGATTTCGTGCTCTTCTTTTTCTTCTTCCCACATTAGAGATTGAACCGATCCGCCCGTGGCGTCTTGTCAAGGGCCCCTTCCTCGTCCTCTACCTCGTTCTGATCGCCCGTCCTGCGACGCTTTGTATCGGGCTGATGGCCGGCTATGATGAGCGCGTGCTTCCGCTTCGACGAATGCAGAGGCGGCGATGGCAATGGTAAGCCTTTAAGCCACGCAATAATAGGATGCGGCCCGAAGTCGCTGTCGGAGTCGCTACGCGAGCGCGAGCGCGGAGGTGTGTGCAGTGGCATGGCGGAGTAGAGCGGGCATGGCGACGTAGATTAGGTTGTGAAAGGGCGCTGAGGTTATGTTACCGGGCAAGCGCGATGCGGCGTTTCTACGACGACGCTTCGTACGGACCTATATAGGGAAGCTCCACAAAACCGAGGCCTGCTCGGGCGACTTAATCATGGCCGCTTTTCAAATGTAGATAGACACAAATAAATTCATACGTTTCAAAATCCAACCCAGCTACTTTATAGAAGCTCATTATATTCATTGTAAACTCCTTCCCTCTGGAGCTGCTTGCGAGCCATGCCCTGATGTACCATAATAAGCTTGACCGCGCCCGAGCTTGGAGCTTAGGGCATCTCCCCTGTACCCCCATTTTCATCACCACGACCGCCGCAATCCATCCATCCATGTAAACACTATATCAAACCTTACAGGCATACCGCTTCCAACGCACACGATCTACTATAATAATAGGTGTCGGGTTAAGCAACTCTAGGCTAAACGAGAATGTCCTCCGACGCCTTTAGCTCTCCGCGTTTCTGCTTGCGGTCTGCTTGCGCTATGCGGTAACCGCTACTGCGATCATGCGGCGGAAGGCGCGATCGTTTCCTAACGCTTTGCGGAGATCTTAATAATGCTAGTTCGATAAGATATAATGTCGGGACGAGTGTTATCGCTAGGCGTTGTAACGCGGAATCGGAGCAGCGTGCGGCGCTGGTTTTTTGGGACTCGGTCGCGATATGCGCGCCTAACTCGTATATATCTTGACGAATCAACGACTCAACCTGCTCATCTACTGATTTTAATACTTTCTATACTTTCGGAGTGCGCATCCGAACGCGATTCGTGTGAATTACATCTCGATATAGTTTAAGATCGTTATCGGGCAGTTCGAGGGTGTCGTTTAAACTACACGATACACGATCCCGATAGACATATGATACCGCTGCAACACTATCGAATGGAAGAGCCATCGCTTCTCAAGTCCGAGCCGAACACCTTAAATACACCTTTATACCAAAGTTAAACCTAGCGTGTTAGCCTATACAGCGCCGCTTCCGACGCGTCCGTGCCGTTAAACATGCTATACTACTCTAACTGACATCGCGTTCTATACTATACTACTACATTCTCGACCGCGTAAGCGTGTCCCACGCGCAATTTTGGTATTAGAACCTAAGCCTAGAGTGGATGCGTTGGCGTTGGATTGGCGCTTAAAATCTCTGAGAGGAGGTTTTCACGCGGTAAAAGTCGATTCCGCCCGCTCCGTCGGACGCAAGAGCTTCCTCTCAGCGGCAAAAGCACGATTACCAAAGATGCCGACGAAGCCCTAATTTTATGGGTTAGTAAAGTCACTCATGCGTACCCTAACAACCCCAAGCAAGAAGTCATCTTATACCTACCGGGAAGTATCGGTATGTCTACGAAAGAAGCTTTAGTGCGGAAGGTATGAAGGCTACGACAGCTCCGGATCTCTTGCGTGATTTCGATGGTCTCTTTGAACGGTATGCTTAGTAGTGCGGATTTAATTTCCTGAGTACGAACGCTGGGATGTGGTGCAAGGCTAATTATACAATTATCGAGCCGTGGCCGGTGCGGCTTAAGGATAGTGCGACTAGAGAGGAGTTTGAGATGCTTTTTGGTTCGCACTACTGTGGGAGTGAGCGGTACGTTGAATGGTAGAGAATGAGTGAGTAGGGGCAGTGTTCAAAAATACTCCGAAAGGTAAAGTTTAGATAGGGAGGAGTAGATTGGCTTACTAGAAATCGTGATTTGTTAATTTTTTTTTAGGACGTATGTATTCTTCCATTACTATATATAAAGAGTGTGCGATGATCGTAATTCTCAGGATAGCCTCTTAAATTACTTTGAGATAACTTTCTAGGACAAAGCATTTTCTTCTCATCTTAAGATTGCCCTCCATAAGGATTTGCTGTAAACCCAATACACCTCCAAAGAATATGCTCGCCCCTAGGTAATGGAAAACATTAACAAAAATAGAGGTTCCGCAGCACAAGCCACGTTGTTCCACGTATCTTAGTAACTAGCTCGGTATTAAGGCACAGCGGTGCATATCACGCCGTACATGCAGCGAGAAGAACCAATAAAAATCGAACACGAAGCTATGGCGTACGAAGGAACGCCAGTTTCCGGTACCTCTATCCCACTCAATGGCATGAACTTTAGCGCGCGCGAGGACTCCCTACCTACGCCGCACATGCCGCTCGGCCCATACTTTGACATAAAGAGCGCTGCTCGAAGAATGACAGTAGGGAGAACCCAAATCAAAGTACCTCAGAAACCTCCGGTATTGCCCGGCCTGGAATTTGCTCGGTATCGGTACAAAATGGCATATATTTGCTCTCGCTGTATTAGATGCTTTTCAACCGTGCGAGCTCTTAGCCAGCACGAACAGAATTCACCGGCACACATGATAACATTCGACTGCGACCTTTGCAACCGATCGTTCTCAAGCGAGAAAGCTCTTCGCCAACACGAAGAGAACTCACCAGCACATATCCCTTCATACAATTGCGACCTCTGTGACCGTTCCTTCTCGAGCGAGCGCGCACTCTCTCAGCACGAGCAAGACGCACCCGCACATGCGCCATCTTACGACTGCGACCTCTGCAACCGTTCTTTCTCCAGTAAGCGGGCTCTTCAACAACATAAAGAGGATTCTCCGGATCATGCTCCTTCGTACGTTTGCGGCCTCTGCGACCTTTTCTTTTCAAGCGAGTCGGCGCTTGCGCAGCATGAGCGAGACTCACCTGCACATGCACCTTCGCATGACTGCGACCTCTGCAGCCGTTCGTTCTCAAGCCGATAGGCCCTCCGCCAGCACAGAAGAGATTCAGTGTACCACTGAAATGGTGCACACTGATGTATACTAGTAAAAGTAGTATTACATCAGCCGAAGGAATGTCATTATCTAACTCGCGCGGGAAAGCCTCTAGCGGGTGATGGTTCCATCTCGCAAGTAGTATGAAACTTTGTTGCAATGAATGGGGTTTCAATTGATAGCAATGAGTGGCATGATCTTGTTAGGAGCCCGGTAGGCGGAGTCCTCTTATACCCTGTGCTAAATGACTAAGCCATAGAAAAAGCAATATAAACTGCGTACACTTCAACAAACCAGTATCCTCAACTTAGCAGAATGGTGCTTAATCTGCTGGCGTACCCGGCCATGTCATCTGACTGCGAGAGGACGTTCTCAACAACAGGGTGAGCCATGGGGACGCGCCGTTCAAGGCTACATAGGGACACGGTAGAAGCCATGAAGTACCTCCGCAGCTAGCAGAAAGCCGGGTGGGTGGATGCGGAGGGATGATTAATGGAGGAGATAGTGATGGACAAATAACTACAACACCATAGAGCAACTCGGGAGACGCCTCTTAGCATGAATGAACCCGGTGAGGCCTTGTTAAGCTTTTAGAGTGGAATTGACACGCCTGATTTGGCAGGGAAAACGGCTATTTAGTTATGTCCGCGGAGCAGCGGAGGACGTGTTATAATGAGCTAAACAGCCTGCGGGCGCGCGCGCGAACGTCCGCGAGCACGCGAGCGAGCGAACGAGCGAACGCCAATTACTGCCCGCTTTAAGCAGTCTTCGCAAGCTTTCGGCGGATCCGTGAGAGGCCAGTTTTCCTATACAAATTGGACGTTTTATAGCACTGCAGGGAGCGGCGGTGGACGCGGAAGAGCTCCAGGAAGGAGAGGACAGCTAGGGCGCCACCCGCCACGCGGTGGAGGTCACGTGACAGTGTATAGCTAAATATCGAATATCTTCACATTCGCTCAACGCGTCCTCGTCAACACCATGCTAAGACCTCGTGATATAGTGGACTACGACCCGACTGCGACCCATTCAGCCGGCTCTAGTCGAGGGCTTAGCCTATCCTAATTGGGAACAGGCCTCTTCGATCCGAACGACCCTAGGGTCGAACTGGACTATTCCGCACTCTAACTATTACTGCTTTGCCTTTTTCTTTGCCCTTTCTTTTATAGCTTTCAACAAGTTATGAAAGCAATATAAAATAATTTAGTCCCTAAAATTCTAGAACAATGCTTAGAAGCAATCGGACTGGTCGTGGAAGAGGGAAAGTAGATAGTACAAAACACGAAGAAGTTTATGCCCCTAAACCTAAGATTCTTGTTCGAATCTCTTTAAACAACACTCTTCGCTTGTCTAGAGTGTTTCAGAGTGTTTCTGTTAGTCATGCAAAGCTAAAAACGTGACGCTATATACGGCACACAAGAGTTGTTCCGGAGGATTATTCTACCGCTGGAGCAGGGGATGTATTGTTCCACCAATTGAATCTCTCATCCAGCCTCCGCTGCGCACAGTCGAAGGGTCTTGCAGCGAAATTCTCGAGACGCTTTCATGCACAACGACAGCTGTGTCCAGACCCAAGCAAACACCACCAACAGCAACGACATCAACAAAATGACGGCAGCTCTATTCTCACTTCCAATTAAACTCGTGGAGATGATTTGCGCCTATCTTAGGAAGGCGAACATTGGCTCATTACGCCTTGCCTACAGAGAGCTGTCCACTAAGACCAGGCCAGCCTTCTATCTCGCCTGCTTCGAAACCGTTGATTTAGTCCTATGCAAAAAGTATATTGAACGCCTTGCGGAAATCGCACGCCACCCACAAGCGCGAAAAGCCGTACGAAAGTTTAAAATTCGTGGGAATCCGAAGGGATTCGGGAAGCGAGGTTTTGCCAGGAACTTCGAAGGTCAAGGGGATTGGCGCCGCACGCCATCAGGCTATTTGGAGCCGCCGTTCCCTGTGGACATCGATCTGCTTCTGGGCCCGATTCTCTCAGACGGCTTTTCAAACTGCCACACTTTTCAGCTGGAATATCTTCCCAGCGATCACGACCGCAGCAACAAGAAAATGGCTTCTGAGGGCGATGCGCTTGCCATCCTATTGCGCTTCATAGCTTCATCCAGCCGACCAATCTCGTCTTTTCATATTACAACGTGCGGAAGTTTATCCCGTGTACCAGTCCCGCTTCTTCAAGACCTGTCATTCACACGGCGATGGCAAGAAAATCTCCGGGAGCTTATATTCTCTCCCCCGCTGGTTACTCCGGATAAAGTCTTGAATAGCCCCGCCTCTCTGCTCATAACAAAAGCAACAAACCTTACCAAGTTGACCTTGAAACTCTTTTATCCTGGTTTTCTACGTCAGATTTTCGTTTCAGCTCCTTCCTAGAGCCCCCACTTACGCATCTCACGCTCTCTAACGTCCTTTCTCGTATCGCTTTATCTGATTTTGATGATCTTCGCAGCTTCATTCTTTTGTTTGAATTAAGCTTACGTAGTATCGTTCTCAGTGGCCTTCATCTACCTCATAAAGATGCCTGGAAAATTATGCTTTCTACATTGAAACAGGGGTTTCCTCGGCTCTATCAGATTTGTATTAATAATTGGCTTTTACCCACTGACGAAGAAGCTGTATTAGCTCTTCACTTTCCGGGTCATGTTGGCAAAAGTGATGATAAAGTTGGTTTAGCTCTTTATGGTAAGAATCGGGAGGTAATGGGGACCATATATAGCGGCCCGGACAAAGGTACTGTGTTAGAGTCTTTGCTTAACGAGGGTCGTGCTCTAGCTTTCTTCTCGCCGTTATATAATTAACTTAGTATCTATTTGCTGGATATCGCGCCTTCTTTGAGAAGTAATGAATACAGCACGTGAACGAATATATAAATATAGTGTAGCAGTCAGCTCTCTTATAATAACTTCCTGATCCTTGGTAATACCAATGCAGAAGCCGGTTCTATTAAAGTTGTAGATACCATTAGAAGGTTAACCCCATAGCTTGCAATAAGGTATTATGGGTTGGGGTACCATTCGCGCAGTTCATCTAGCGGAAAGTTAGCTTGGTTAATATTTAATTAGCTATCATCGTCGCTTTCGGGATTCTGAATATCACTCTATGAAGCGTAGTAATTAGACTTCACTAAATGTTAGTGGAAGGAAAGGACCGGGATGACTAGCTACAAGAATCGAGTTGGTAGCGCTGACTACCAAGCCGGGTCCTGCACTCAAACTCATGTTGTCTAATCTATTGTAGAGGTAGAGGTGTTGTTCCTATTCATCCGAGAGCTTCCTGTTAGGTGGGTCTCGTGCAAGCACCCCGCGAAGGCGTCGCTTTAGCAACTGTCAGGGAACCTCAAAGTGACGTGAGATCTCTATAATCGACATGCCGGGTGTTGCATCCTCTATAAACTAGGTGGCCGCCTTATTAATGTCCATTGCTATGATCCGATACTACGAAGGGAAGATGCAAGTTATGAATGTGATAGAAGGTTAATAAATTTTATAATTAATCGCTCAGGTGTATGTTCGCTAAGCTGTAGGAAACTGAAGCGAAAGCGAAAATAGTACCTTGGTAAGGTTACAGTATAGTGTTTCTAATAACAACGCAGGTTGTAGCGCAGACGAAGACAGAAGTAAAAAGGCGTGAAAGCGTGCGTGTACGCAACGGGTAAAAAAACTAAAGCGCAGAAGCCTGCCTTCTTAAGAAGGCAGGCAGCTCTAGCCCACGAAGTTTCTAATATTTAATCCCCAGTGCCACAAGCCGACAGTCACAAGGTCAACACCCCACAGATATTAGAAACTCACGTGGACTAGAGCATTACGCACCATTACACCCATCATCGATAGGTCTTTGCCGGACAGCCCTCTTACCCGGCGCTGCGATTATGTCAGCAGACGGGCCCCTCAATTCTGGGAACCCTCGCCTAACCTCAAAGGAAGAAACTCCCACCAAAGCCGGGATTTGAACCCTTAGCCTTGTAGATTAGAACTCAGAGCGCACCAGGTCAGCCACAGAGTCTTTTGTATGCCAAGAAATTCGATTTTTTTATTTATACACTGGCAATCTCCCGGGCGCCCTTGCTAGCGCCAGCGATCTGCCGCGTACCCGCCCCCGCATCGCCTCCCCGTCCGTGCTCTCGCCACATAGTCGCATCCACGCCCTCTGCTTACCACATTGCGTGGTGTTGAGTCGCGGTTTGAAGATGCACCGGTCGTATTACGTCATCTCCCAAACTGCGTAGCAATAGTGCTTCTTAGACACACCCCGAACCCCCGATCTCTAGGTTCGTCTTCCTGGAAGATTATTATATAAGCTTGTTTGGACGTTCTCTGGCCGAGAGTAGGCGATGCGTTGGGTTACGATGCGCACGATTTGTGGGGAGCACGCTGCCTAGCGGTTGACGATTCGGGATCTACGAACCCCCGCCTACCCGCCTTCACCGCCTAGCGGTCCTGCTTGTGCTTGTGCGATAAACAAATAATCAACCATATCCGCCCCTCTCGCTGCAACGCCACCCAACGCCTATATCGAGGCTTGGTCGCACCAAGGCACCCTCGCCGCCACTCCCTCAGACTCTCTCTCTCGAGCGCCGTCACTGTTCCTCGGCTACGCTCTCTCCTCCGCAGCCACGTGAAACGCCGCCGACATAAACACCAGCCTCGGCCTCGACCCCGACTAGACACCCAAAACTACCAAGCGCAAATACGTCTCCAGCTAGCCTC